GACAAATCACTCGATTCCAGACACACCTATTCAATGAATCTATCCCATCATTTAGCTATAATCCGACGTTCCTATGAAAACTGAATTGTGGACCCGTCGAAAGTAATTACAAGAAATACATCGCATGTAGTGGAATGTATCGAAAATGTTCGAAACAGTTGTGAGGGCAAAGGAAAGGAAATCTCTCTCATACAATCATAAGCATAAAGTCAATTGATGTTCTCCGCGTTTCGCGGAATGATCTCAAAATGCTTTCATAAATTTCAGATGAAGAAAATCCATCGGAAGCAAGAGGTGACAAAGATGAGCAACGGTGCTGCCACTTCATCAGAAGGCGACACAAAATCGTTGGATGATTCGAAATCGAATTGCGATGACTCCGATGATGGTAATTTCTTGTTTTCGTGCGGTTCGTTTCAGCATGTGCATTCTTGAATGTCATCAGATCAGATGTCATCAGTTGGAAAAAATTTCCGTTGAAATCTGCAGTTTTCACAATTCGGTATTTCTCCTTCACCACACCTCACAGAACATCTTTCTAGTTTTAGCTGGATTACCTGGATTGGCCAGGCTATCAAACGTTTATAACGTTGCTGGCCATAATGCTCGCGTTTCCGTGCGCATTGTTTTAGCCTCAATTTACGCCTCCCCGCTGGCTAGGCGAGCAGGCCAATCTTTCTAGTAAAAATATGAATTATCTTGATCTAATACGTTTTGATTTGGTACATATTTATGGATTTGAAACGAAAACAAAAGTGAACAAAAAAAAATTTCACATTTGCTATGAATCATTTTGTGAAATTCGCGTGATATCGATAAAAATATTTTGAAAGATTGCATTTCGTCTTCGAAAAAATTGGCGTTAAACGATTGAAAGGTATCCTAGAAATAGTTCATGAAGAGAATTTGCTGGTGATCGGAAGAGAGTTTCCTTTTGATTTAATTCTGTCTGGTGAAAATGAGAGTGGGATTAGTCGGAAGTGTGAAGGCGTTCATTTTCGTCTTGTCCAGCACTAAAATCGGAACTTTTTGACATTTCTCATCGTTCCGTTGCGTTGAATTATTTGCCTAGATTCATTCATGAAGGCTGACATTTCGCTATTTTGTTGCCATCGAACAATGTGAATTTTTCTGGCTTCTTGAAAGGATTACTCAGGAAACATCCTCTCTAAATTGCTGCTGCAATGTATCTGAGTACAAAATGATGTATAAATGAAGTGCTTTTTAAAGATTATCTAAAGTACGCTTTTGAAATACCAAACTCATTTTATCAGTGAAATAATTGAAAGTGATGAACGGAAGTGAAATGAATGATATTTGAGTATTGTTCTGCAAAAAGCTTTAAACAATTCTGTTGTTGATTTAATCGCAATAACCTGAGATCCCTCCTTAGTTATGTACAAAACAGAAACGCGAAAAAAAATTTGAGAAGTCCATTGCACTGCTGTCATCTTTTCTGCATCCTTACTCGTCACCAGGGGGCTTATCGGAACCTTTTCCTTTTCCCCTAACAATATAATACTTCTCTATTTCCACGCAAACCGCCGGAGCTAATTCTCCGACCCCGTCCGTAACCTCCTGACACCCTAAACTTACCCAAAAATGGGTAATTTCCGCCTACGAAATCCTTGGCTTAGATTCATACGACTGCGTTAGAAGGACGACGAAGCAAAATCATGATTAATCATAAGAGCGGGGCCAATGCAGAGCCGAAATGAGCTGCATATGTGAGATTAAATGTGTGAACAGATAATGTACACATTTGAGTGGCGGCTCGATTTCGTTCGAAAATTGACATTTTCTAAATTTCAGAATTAGACTCAGACGGTGACGATTTGGATGATGAACCTGGAAGTGACGGTAAACTGAAGGAGTTAACGAATCCAATTGATAAATTGTACAACATGCAAGCCACATATTTTGCTTTCACTTGATCTCAACACTGTAATAATAATTTCATCGCTTTCAGCCAGCCTAACAACGATATCTTCCGAACGAATGTTTATTTTTTGTGGTATTTTACTGAGTTCGTTTGAATGTTTTTGTACTTTCGTACTTTCACGGATTATGAATTGATCTGCCATTGATAAATCAGTTCAAATAAAAGACGACAATACACCCACTCTAATGGAATCTTGCAAGTGCTGAATGAAATGCCCGCGGGATTTTACTTGATGTCACTGAAAGAGTCGTCGCGATTAAATGATCGGTTACAATCGCGAGGAGTTACTTCAATACCGAACGGG